ACCTTGGTTAGGGAACCTTCTTCAGGAGTCAGAGCTCACCATATCAAGTGGGTCATAGCCTCTGACAACATTGGCTAGAAGAAAATGAATCCTCTTTGCCCCTTGCTAGATGTTTGATTTATATGACCTGCATCACAAGCCCTTGAGATCCTTGAAATGGGTTAGGATGTATGCAATGGTATGATGTCATGATATGCATGGGGTAATGTGAGTAACCCTGTTATGAGTCCAAATTAAGGACTGCAAAAACCTGCAAGAAACTTAGGATACCCTGTTATGAGTCCTAATTAAGGACTACAAACACAACCTGCAAGAGACAAATGTCAGGTAATAAGCATGCAAGTAGTTCAAGTAGGAAGGCACACAAGTCACACAAGAGAAAACCCTTAGGGTTTAGGCTAGCATGGGGTCTGGGTAGTACCCTCTTGAAGTTGGTGGGTTCAACCTGTCCTATCAAAGTAACCGGGTTCTAAGGTTCCCAATATCACGGGATTGCTTTCATTGTTCATCGTTTCGATTTAGCCACTGAACTGGCGACCGAAATATTCCAGGAAAGCAACCCTCAATTGAGTGTAGTATCGAGTATCAACCAACCTCGGACTGCACCAAAGTCAGTTATCTCACTACCCTAAAGAGGCCAAGATGGTTCAATTAAGGTTCCTAAGGTCTGTTGATGCTTCATGACACCACATGGAGGCCCCGTACTCTCCTTGACTGACTCAAGGGTTACCGGTACACACCAAAGTGCCACATCAACGTAGCAGACTGCTTCAACCATGTCGGTATACCCCGCACAGTTCCCTCACAGCCTTGTTGCTACTTTCTAAAAGGGTATCCCCCAGATCCGGGTTAGGATCTATAGAACTCCCAAGACAGTCCCACAATTTAAAGCAAGCAAAGAAAGCAATTGAAAACACAGTGATCTTAATCCTAAGGTACACCTCACTTTAAGTGTATCCCCAGCAGAGTCGCCAGTTCTGTGATCGGTGGGTCTGGAACTGACTGTTTTAAAGCTGGTTCGCGAAATGTCGCGGAAGCAAGAGTCGCCACCGTCTTTTATTTTCTCCAATAGGAAAGGACAAAAGCACAGAAAAATTCCTTAAAGAGATTGCTCTCGGTTCGGGAGGTAGGTTATAGAAAGGGAAGGTGTTAGCACCCTTTCTATCCATGGTTATCCATGGGCTCTTAGGTACTTGCTCAATGTGTTTTCAAAAATTGTTTGCTTGCTTTTTCAATGTGGGTTTCAAAAATATTCTTTGAAAAGTTTCAGGTCAACTCGTACGTCAGAGTGTTTGAAAAGTTTGTTTTGAAAGTTTTTGAAAGTGTGTGGGTGTGAAAAGTATTTTGATTCGTTTGAAATTAGAGCAAGTATCCTTGAGAACCTACCTACCCTAAGGAATTCGTCTGTGTAAATGTCCTTTAAGGTAGTGCCATCCCACCATTGAGAGGTAGGTAGCACCACCGTTGGAGGTGTTCGGGTCAATTCGAGTTTTAGGGACGTGGTGGTCACCAGAGCAATGGGAAGACACCTTAGAAGCTACCCTCATGCCAGGTTCCCGGATCATGAGGACTTACTAAGACGTTTTCTACTCGACGACCACCTTTCGAAAGGCAACAGTGAGGCGTACCCTAGGGGTGGTGTGTGCGAATTGTGCGTCATGTTTCAGTTATTTGTCTTGTCATGTTTATTTGTGTTCTACGCTTGATTTTATTTTCGGGCATTCATTCTTTCATGCATATTTATTAACAGTTATATTTGCGAGAAAATAAATCTAAACTATTACAACTGGCGCGGGTCCACATCGCCAAAAAAAAAAAACCGAACCCGATTTGACTGAAAATAAATAAAGCGAATAATAAAAAAAAAAGTGCGAGAATTTTAAATTACATGGCTTTGGGGCATATACAGAATTATTTGAACAATATAAAACAAATGCGCGAAATAAAGAGATTAAACAAAATTAGGGCGTTGGACCCTTTTACAAACAATTAAAATTAATCAAGGAATTAAAATTAAATGAAAAATAGTATTTTTGGGTTTTTTAGATTTAAAAGAAAAAAAGAAAAATTAATTGAAAATTAAAATCCTAGTTCTAATGTTTTTTTAAATTTATTATGAAGATATTCACTTTTAATCTAATTTAACTCTAAATTAATTTATGTACATTTTTTAGTTTATGAAAATAAATAAACAATATTATTATTCTGAAAAAAGGGAAAAAATAAAAAAAGAAAATAAAAGTCATTAAACCTAAACTCTATTTTTTTGGATTTTAGTTATTAAAAGAATTAAAATCTAACCTAAAATGCAACCCTAGTTTAATTATGAAAAACACTAATACTATGGCAAAAAACAAGGAAAGTTAAAAGGAAAAAGTCATTAACCTAATTCTATGTTTTTTTAAGTTTTTAAGAAAGAGATTTAATTTCTAACCTAATTTAATTCTAAATTAATTTATGTACATTTAATTATAAAATAGAATGAATTAATAATTATATT